ACTAAAATGCAAAATTATTTATATTGGCAATAAAATAAGTAAATAAATTTTTATAAAACGTTTATTATTCTAACTAAAATATTATTTTTATGATTATATAGGTGATACTATTCAAGATAATAAACGAAATTGTTTCAATTGTGGTGTAAGACAAACATATCAATGGGGAAACTATTTAAAAGCCCATTATTTGTGCCACTTGTGCCGCAATTATAAACGCATATATGGAAAATTTAGATCAGAGGTAATAAACACAAGGTTTTTTATTTTGAGAATTTAGGGAAAAAATTACAATTGTTTAATAAACGGGTTTAGTATAGATGGAAAAAATAAGTCGATTTTATATAATTTTTTCACCTCATATATCCTTATAAAAGATTATTTTCGAAATCTTTATGGCTCTATGATAAATAACTGATCAGGAATATATAAATATATAAATAGAATATAGTAAAATCTCTAATAATATCCAGGCATACAACTGGTTGAGTATTCTATAAAATATTTTACGCTATATCTATAAATATTTTAGCGCATAACACAAGGAAATTGTTGTATTTGCGGGGAAACAAAAACATCAAATTGGTACCGCCATACAAAACCTGAACACTATATATGTGATACGTGTTACAAAAGACAGCAAAGAATAAAGAAAACAAATTAGAATTCAAAAAAATTCTATTTGGTTCTGGCAACATAAAGCATCAAAAAATAAAGTACCTATATTAAATTAAATTCATTCTTTCCCTAAATAATCTTTTATTTCCTCTCCAACTCAGCGATATGTATTTGTTATCTTTTGAAGTTTACAATTCTATGATTTACTATTATTTTCACATTAATTTTTCACAATCCTTTAGATTGTTATATTTTTTCATATATTTTTTTGTTTCTATAAATTGATTTCAAATTAAATTCTTATCGAACTTAGGATCTAGAAATTAAGTTTTATAATAATTATTACGTTCTAAAATGAAATTTTATAACGGAGTACCTTAAATTATAATAAAGTTATTGTAATGGCTTGATTAATAGGGTTTAGTTCAGTCAAAAATTTTTAGTTTAATTAAAATTTTGTAAATCGAATATATCATATAAATTGTTAGGGTTTAGAGGGCTCCCGGAGATTTGGAGAGTGGACACTTGGGGAGTGGACATTAGGGGAGTAGATAAATGGGGAGTGAGCGGACAATCGGGGAGTGGACATTTGGGGAGTAGCATAACGATAATAATACAATAGAATATTAAATAGTTTTTCTTGCTTTTGTATTTAAAAAAATGTTTATGTATAAGTTCACAGGAGATAAAAGTTTGAGACGTGGAATATGTCATTCGATTCGTCTCGGCAAGCTGAGTCGAACTCCAATTTTCGAAAAAAAATTCAATCTCCAATTTCAGAAAAAATCAAACTCCCTATTTCAGTAAATGATTCTGAACCGAGTTATAGGTTGAAAAATTGAAAAACCATAAGAGGGAGGAGGTAAGCTCGATTTTGTGGTAAAAAATTCGAATATGCAAGTAATAGCTCATTCGAAAGAGCTTTCGATCTGAGTCGAATGACACTAAAATTAGCTTGATTAAACAAGTTTGAGTCAAGATATATGACTCGAAATGGTCAAATACCAATGGTGGGATTTTAGAGTCAAAATTTCGAAAAAACATATAATAGCCATTCGAAAGATTTCGAATTTATTTTTTTAAATACAAAAGCAAGAAAAACTATTTAATATTCTATTGTATTTTTATCGTTAGGCTACTCCCCAAATGTCCACTCCCCAATTGTCCGCTCATTCCCCATTTATCCACTCCCCAAATGTCCAATCCCCAAGTGTCCACTCCCCAAATTTCCGGACACGGTTTAGAGTAGGGTTGTCGGTTCTGGAACGAACCGAACCGTCTGAAGATCCGATGATTTTTCGGTTCGGATATCGGTTCGAAATCCGGATATCCGAAATTTTCCGGTTGAAAAAGTAAGAAATCTGTCTTCTGGTCTTCCAAAATTCTCAAAATTTTCGCCTGCGGCGAAGTATGTTGTATATCTGAATTTTGCATAGATTAAGGTGGACTTTGAGAAAATAGGGAGGAATTAAAGTAGAGATTATCAGAGGGGTTAAAGGGAATATTGAGGGATATGAGTGTGATATCGATGGATAGAGGTTTAAGTGGGATATCGTATTTCCTTTAATAGAATCGCCGGGCATTCTTTTTTTCAATCAGCTTATATAGTGGCATTCTATTAGAGGGGGGGACATTCTAGTGAAGGGGGCATTGTATTTTTCAATCATCCTCCAGAAGGCATTGTGCTATCGACGGATCAAAGGGTTGTCTCGTTCGATATCACTTTAATCCTCCTTGATCAATTCAGAACCCATTTTATCACCCGATATCAAACCTCTTATATCCAACAAATTCTCTTATACCCATCACTAATCCTTAATAAAAAATCTGTCCTTTGGACAGATTTTTTTAAATTTTTTTTAAAAAAATACAAAAAATATATTTTTTATGTAAAATATTTATAATTCAAAACAATTAACGTAAATGTCAAAAATAGTTGGTGAGATTCGCTTAATGTGGGTGCCGGAATTTTCGTCTCTGGAAATTTCGTCTCCAAGACTTTTCGGAACTTTCGTCTCCAACATTTTCGGAATTTTGTCTCCTGCGGAATATTCGTCACCAAGGAAATAATCGGAATTTTCGTCTCCGCAATTTTCGCCTCCACTAGGAATTTTCGTCTCCAGAGAAAAACTTACCAGATGATGGAACAAATTCCGTTGTCAGGACAACTTCCCCCGTTGACGGAACACTATACCCCGTGTCGGAACAATTTCCCCCGTTGACGGGGAAGTTGTCCTGACAACGGGCGAAGTTGTTCCATCAACGGGGGAAGTTGTTCCGACACGGGGGATAGTGTTCAGTCAACGGGGGAAGTTGTCCTGACAACGGGGGAAGTTGTTCCGACACGGGGGATAGTGTTCCGTCAACGGGGGAAGTTGTCCTGACAACGGGGGAAGTTGTCCTGACAACGGAAGTTGTTCCATCATCTGGTAAGTCTCCTTTGTCCAACAGTTCCACAACTGTCTTTTCTTCAACAACCATTTCTTCTCTTCAAACAACAATGCACTTCCAATTGCCCTGTTGTTCAAAAAGAAAACCAACAAAGAAATATAATTTGAAATGCTCTTTGTGAAATTCAAATATTTGAAATGTTCCCCTTCATTTTATTGTCCCATTATCCCTCATTTCAAATTTACCTTTACTTTTACGCCCAATTCTATCCATATACATATATACCCTTTCTAGAATTCAAATTTTTCAATGCATGTTTGTTCTAGAATTCACCCCTATCATTACTTCATACGGCTCCCGGACAATCCGTCAGTGGACAATCCGGCAGTGGAAAATCCGTCAGTGGACAATGCGTCAGTGGTCGGACAATCCGTCAGTGGACAATCCGTCAGTGAATAAATTCGTAATTTCTGGCCATACCCAAACTACCGCAGCCAATTATTTTTCATTCTTTCGTGTGGAAGATCATAAGAGATATCGAAAATTTGGAAAAATAAGAAAATCGGCAGATTTAGCTGGATTAAAAGGATATCAGTGGATTTAAAAAATATCGGGGATTTCAAAGATATTGTGGGATTACGGGGAATAAAAGAAATTTGTAGTATTATGGTGGCTTTCGAGGAATTTGAGAGATTAAAATGGATTTCGGGGATTAAGTGGGATATCAAGGGATATAGCCGGATTAAGAGGATTTGTAGGTGGTTCCACGATACACATCTGAAAACAATCTCTCTTATTCATAGATTTTCCAAAGTCCCTCCCACGATATTCATCCAAATCCAATATACTCCCATATGTTAATCATGTAAATCTAATCCATCCAAATCCACTATACCCTTCTATATCCATCGACATTCGCTTATTGAACCTAATTGCCCAATATCTTTCAAATCCGCTGATATCCTTTTAATCCATCTAAATCTGCCGATTTCCTTATTTTCCCAAATTTTCGATATCTCTTATAATCCTTCACACGAAAAAATGAAAATTTTTGGCCGCGGTAGTTTTGGTATGGGTAGAAATTACGAATTTTTTCACTGACGGATTGTCCACTGACGGATTGTCCGACCACTGACGGATTGTCCACTGACGGATTTTCCACTGCCGGATTGTCCACTGACGGATTGTCCGGTCACGCTTCATACCAATACTTTTGACCATTATTTATTACCTTTACCAATCAATTCAAACAAATAAAACACAATCACCAATTATTAAATAAAATTTATCTTAAATAAATATTTATACAAAAAATTGTTCATTTTTTAAGAGTTGGAAAAACCACTCTTCATTATCTAACCAGATCGAACCACAGTTCGATCGACCTTTTCACATTTTTATACAAACAACTAAATAGTTGTTTGTCAGCCGTTTCTGAAAATATACCATAAACGTGTTCGTTGGGTTCCGGCTTATCCAAAGCTAGCCAACGTCCACAACAAGGATTAAGAGTCTGATGCTGTTATCAACCAAGTTTCTTATAAAGAAAAAAACGTGTTCGTTGAGTTCCGGCTTCATCCTAGCTACCCAACGTCCACAACAGGGATTAAGAGTCTGGTGCTCTACCAATTGAGCTCAAGCGGACATTTAATCACAAATTAGACTCATCCTGTCTAAAAAATCTTGCCGTATGTCGCAAGTAATCCGATCCTCGCTTGGACCAATTTTAGCCCGTCTTAAAGGCTATACCGACCAAGGAACAACAACTCTTGGTCAACCTGCTAACGGTTAATCAGCCACCGCTCTAGCAGTATTAGTTTACATAATATAAATAATTTAAAAATTTTCTCCATTTAATAAAAATTTGTTAGAAATTTTCAATTCAAAACTTCTATGGCTAAATTATTAATCTTCTTCGTGTTTCTTTTTATTTTGTTATTTATGCTTTCTCAATCTATAAACCCGAGGATAATGCCTCAAATGGAGTTGAATTAGTTCGCACCTGAAATAGGAATGAAATTGAAGTATTCACTCCAAGTAACAACGAGTACCCAAATCAACATGACGACATGGAAGAAGAAAAATATTCTAAAAGCTATTGGAAGGATCTTTAGGAACAAATACAAACTCATAATGAAAATAAAGAAAATATCGGAGAGAACTTGCCTGAAATTATTGTCGAAGAGGATGAATGTGATTGGTGTTGCATAATTATGTAAAGTAGAATTAAATAGAAATGTACATATATTAATTAAGAAAAACATTTTTTAATATTAGTTGATTAGATTTGAAAAAAGTTTTTGGTTGAAATTATATTATTTCTCTTCTTATTCAAAGAGAAGATAAAAACTTTATTTATCATCCTATTATAACAATTAAAACAATACTTGAATTGATTTATAATTTCTTTGAAATAATGATAAAAAACTGACTGGGGGCAGAAGTAAATAAGTACCGTAAACAACTTTCTATTTGATGCCACAAAAATTAGTTAAGAACGATACTTCTGTATCATTATAAATTTTATTATTCATAAAATAAAATAATGAAAATAAATAAATGTATTTTATATTTATCTTGGTAACAATTAAAGAATTTTGTTTTTAACTGAAATTATATAGGTTTATTTGAAATATGTAGTTTTTATTTGAAATATGTAGTTTATAATTTGTTCAAAAAACTCAGAAAATTAAAGCTAGAAAATCGTAATTTTTTAAATACTATTCATTCAATTCCTGTTCTGGTTGATTTTTATTTGTTTTCTTATTTATTCTTTTTTGCTTCATGTAACAAGCAATACATATATATTTTTCAGGATTTGAATGACGGTACCATTGTGATGTTTTTGTTGCTCCGCAAATAAAACATTCTCGATCTTGTATGATTCGCTAAAATAATAATTATAAAAATAGGCATAACTCTACATACTAAGCAAGATACCATTAATGTCATATAAATATACTCGAAACAGTTAAAACTACTCATTTACTTTTATAAAAGTATTGATAATTATAATATGAATAAATTAAAACCATTTTATTTTGATAACAATTTCTTTCAGGTCTCATTTTGCCATTATATATTTTATATTTTTGACATGGATCACACAAATGATGTTCATTTAGGTATCTATTCCAATTTTTGTTAACTGTAAATTTACAATTAAAACAGTTGCGCTTATTTTCTTCAATTATTCCTCCTAAAATAATAAAGAATATAATTTATATTGTATAGGTATATAAACTAATGAAAAATTAAATAAACTATTTACTTATTTTATTGCCAATTTCATTTATTTTGCTTTCTAATTCTTTCGGATATTCAACTTTTTGTTTTTCTAACAATTCAATTTTATATCCATTTAAATTAATTTCCGTCCAATAACTTGATAAAAGTTTGTTTTTGTAATTTTCTATATTTTTTCCAATTAAGCTAAAATTATTTTCACACTCGTCTAATATTGAAGTTTCATAACAATTAATATCTCCATTAAAATTTTTATTTCGGAGTACCTTAAATTTAACACAGATTAGAGTAGTTTTAGCGGCGGATTTCGATTTCCATGCTGATATGTTTAATTTGCAAGATAGTTGTAACACTATGGAATGTGAATTCTAGCAGTAAAAATTACCATTTTTTCAAACCAAGGCAGAAAATTTTGAATTATTTCATTATTACTAATTTCAATCAAAATTTTCTTTTTTAATTGATCAGATGGAATATATTTTGATCCATCATTTATTTCAACTTCAAACATATTTTTATCTAAATTTATATCAATCGAACGTAAATATCCTTTTATATTTTTATTAAAGCCATCATGTCGATTATTTGTCTTTTGAATTACTTTCAACGCAAAACGATCCTTTATTTCAACATTTTTTAAATAAATAAATTCTCTTTTATCTCTCCAATCATCTCTAATTTTCACTTCCACACTAATAATTCTCCCTGAACACTGAATTTTCAAATAAATAAATAAATATATGAAAATTATATAATCAAATTTAATCATCTGAAATTTGAAAATTAAAGCTGCTTTTTTGTTGCGGACCCATAAATGAGGACAGAACTAACGGTCCGTCAGTTGGGGACCCGAAATGAATTTTAAAAAAATATGTAAAAGACCTCTTTATTTTAAAAACCATCTCCTACAAATTTTTTACATCTAATTTGGCATCTGATCTGGTTATGAAAAAATCAGGACATAAAGAAAAGGCCGGGAGTCACAAAGTTCGGGAGATCAAGATAAGGATAGACTTAAAGGGCGGTCATTTTAGGATATGCTCTTGAAGAAAATTTAAAATAGAAGTTTTATCCAACGTTATATGTATTATATGAGACTTAAACATAAATATTTCTTATTTTTTAAAGTTTGATTAAATGCTAACAAAGGAGAGCCTTTTGGGTGTCCGTGGGACTTCGGGATGAAATTTGGTAGACAAGTAGATCATACCCTTTCTATTGTAAATCTCGAAACCGTTTCCGCTACGGGGGACCAGGGACCGAGTTATAAGCCCCCAAAGTTTTAGGATCCCCTCAGTTTTCTTTTCTACATATAAACAATTTTTTATTATTAACAAATGTGTTCTTCGGTGGTGCACTGGTAGCGTTCCTGAATTTACTTTTTTCCCAAAAGTTCGAATCCTGATTGGGTAAATTAATTTATTTTAACAAAATTTTCACTTTTGTTTCTGGAAATTTTGTTTTTAACATTTTTTAAAAATGTTCTAATTTTTTTTTGAAAATTTTTAAAAATCTTTTAAAAAAACTTATAAAGGAAGGAATAATCACAAGGCTTTTTCTGGAACACCCTATTAATGAATAAAGGGAAAAAGTAAATATTTAAAAATATCACAAAAGTTTTTAAACAATTTTTTTTGACAAAAAACATTGGATAAAAATCAAAAATTAATTAAAATAAATTAACTTCCCAAATAAGGACTCGAACCTTGCGGGAAAAAACGATATGCGAGAACGCTACCACTGCACCACCGCAGAGCACATTTGTGACTAAATAGAAATTGTTTATATGTGATTGACCCTAAAACTTTGGGGGCTTATAACTCGGTCCCTGGTACCCCGTAGCGAAAATGGTTCAAGATTTACTATAGAAAGGGTATGATCTACCTGTCTACCAAATTTCATCCCGAAGTCCCACGGACACCCAAAAGGCTCTCCTTTGTAAGTGTATACAATAAAAAAACAACGAGTACATACAAATTTTACTGATTGACAGTATTAATCGTAGATTTTGTAATTTTATTAAGCGGGAAAATAAATAAAATAGGACAAATTTTGAAATTTTTGTTGTCAAAAAATTTTAAAGTACATATGATCAAATTCAAAAGAATCTGATCTTTGAATGTAATTGTACTATTATGTGCAATTTTATGTACAAATTTTTACCCTTGTCACGTGTCAAATTCACTTAATGTTTGTGTCATTCTAAAAGAATATTGTAAAGCATAGGCGGTTGATTATGTAACAAATCATTCCTGGGAACATTAAAAAAATTAGCTAAAGTGTAAACAATTAGCCCATTTCGTCTTAATTATATTTAAAGTAATTTAACTATTTAAAAATCATTTTTATTATTTTATTAAATGTTCAAAATAGGGTATACATATTCTAAGGTTCTTAATATAGACTCATTGTTTTCAATATTCGTTTTATTATTTATTACAATTTAAATCGAGGTTTTATAAATATTATGTCGGAATTCCGATCCTTTCAAGGCTAAAGAACATAGAGGAATTGCCAAATACATAATTTCTCTACTCTATTCTAAAACGGAAGGTTAAAATGCATATGCATCACATGTGAAGCTGATGTTTGTACCTAACATAGGTGAGGAAATGTCGCAGCCAAAAGGGCGGAGATTTTGGTATACTCGTAACATTTCACTCTCCATTTTACCAAACTCGTCCCTTCAATGCTCCGTTTATAAGTCAGTCTGGACTGCCAATGAATTCATTTACATTTTAAATTTATTACCATTTAAGTCGTTTTTCTAATTGTTTGTCGTTGAGTTTTGCTCAATTAAGGAATGAATAAACATGTTTAAATTATAATTAATGTTATTTAGAAAATTATGTATTCTGAACATTTTAAATTATAGTTAATATTATTCAGCTTACATGAAAGAGAAGAGTTTAGCAAAAGTTTAGTCACTGGTTAAGAGTTTGAACTTGCGTCTCCTCGTCTAATTATTACTAGGCGTTTACGCTCACCTCTTCTAGGGGCTCTATACCACTGAGCGACTGAAGCATCGTTATTCTTTAAGATCGCTTGACCCGCGTCTAAGCGTTCTAAATACTTTACGTGAATCATCCTTACAATAGTTATAATTAATCATTCTTACAATTATTCATTATTACGGATGCTAGATGTAATGTCCTTTTCGGACGAGTTGAATATTGCATTCGTTTACATCAATTTTTGGAAGGTAATTGCCCTATAATATCGATATCCCTATAATGTCGGTATACTAGCTATTGATAATTTTAAAAATTTGGGGAAAAAATATGGCCATCCATTATAATGGATGCCCTTATCCCCAAAATTTAAATGTCAAAATTTCAAAATAAAAAAATTTAAGAAAGGTGTCATTCGTTTCTTATGTAGTTTTCCAAAATTTTCCAAAATTTTGCATACGGCGCTGAAAATCTATGGAATTTAGAGAGATTATGCAGGAATTTAGATAATTTATGAATTGCAGGAATTAAGAGAGATTATGAGAAATTAAGATTGGATTTAGTGGTTAACAGAATTATCGAGAGGATTTGGATGATTAAACGATTTGTGTAGAGTGTTTGTTTTTGGTATTAGGTGAATTTGATTAGAGTATATTTTAATGTCTACGGATTAACGGTATTTTCCTTTTGGTGTTTAAGAGGAATATTGAGGGATTTGAGGGTTTATTGTTGATTGTGAGGTATTTGAGTGCTGATTGTTGATTAAGAGGGATATTGAGAAATTTGACAGTTACCCCTGATATCCCTTTAAATTCCATTAATCTTTCTAAATTCACCAATAACCACCATAATAATATTTCCGAATTCTTCTTAATATTACAAATCCACCTCAATTCGCCGATATATTTTCATGCCATAGATGGACCGTAAGTGTCAGTCCTTATGTACGGGTCCGCTAAAGTCGGCTAACCAAAGTTGCTAGTCCTTTTATTTGAAAAGTGATTAAAAATATTAAAATTCTCTTATATTTTTTTAAAGATAAAACAAAAAAAACAGCTTTAACTTTC